GGCCGCCGGCAGGTATCAGAATACTGCCGCGCGTGCGCGATGACGTCTCGGCGGGGTGACACTCGGTTACCGGTCCAGGTTTGCAGCAGAAACTGGAGCGAGGTCAAACAAGCCAGGGGTCAGCACGGTACGGAAGGAGCAGGCAGAGTCCAGATAACAAGCGGAGGTCAGGGGCAGGCAGCAAGCAGAGGTCAGGGGCAGGCAGCAAGCGGAGGTCAGGGGCAGGCAGCAAGCGGAGGTCAGGGGCAGGCAGCAAGCGGAGGTCAGGGGCAGGCAGCAAGCGGAGGTCAGGGGCAGGCAGCAAGCGGAGGTCAGGGGCAGGCAGCAAGCGGAGGTCAGGGGCAGGCAGCAATCCGGGTCGAGGTAACAGGTCAGCAGGAACGCACGCTGAAAGACCGTTCAGCACTGACCCACTGGGCCAGCTGGTTTACATAGGAACATCTATTAGAGGGCCGAGAGTCATTTCCTGTGCGCCACTGTGTCACTTCCTGTCCGCCACTGTGTCACTTCCCGCGTGCCACATTCCGTTGTGCGCACATGCGCGCTAACGTATGTTTTCTGGCAACCCGGAAGACTGGGACCCGCGCATGCGTAGTAGCGCGCGAGCTCCCGGCTACGGCCTTACAGCTGCACAAGCACGGGGATTTTACATGATTGCGTCATCTCTGAGCCGGCATCTCGTTCCAGGAAGTAGACGGTGACGCTGGATGATGCCTGAACAAAGATGGCGCCGTCCTCTTGGCGAGAAAAGCAGATGAAGGAATTGTCGGGGGGAGGACTGCGATCTCTGTGAGAGATATAAATACCTAGCAGAGTTACCGTGACGCATGAATGCACGCCGCACCTAACAATATATCTGATGTTTGCGCCGCCGTACACCGCTATATACTTATATCTATTCCTCTTTTTACAGGTCCGGCCACGGACCACTACGGACCAAATCTGGCTCCGCCCACCCAAGTCTGTACCACGCCATTGGGTGTCTCGTGCGGAACTCCGGCTGTGTTTTGTTCATTGAAATGCATGACGAGGTTTGGCATTTGCCGCCATTTTGTTGGTCAAGCTTTTTGCTTTGAAGGTCGTTTAATAAAGTCCGCGGCGTGAACTGGAGGTGGTCTGGAGCATGTTATTGGGGGGGGATTCCTGAGGAGGGTGTACAGGGAGTTCAATCCAAATGTTCCCGTATTTATATATCGTGTGTTCTCCTCTCCGGCCAGCAGGTGGCGCTCTGGGCTCCTGGGCCTGTATACCCAATCACAAAGCTTCATGTCATGAGCCATATGTAAATTGGCGCGAGCGGCGTGTGTAGGCTATTACAGAAAATGGAGCAGATCTGGATATGACAAAAAGTGTCTCAAAGCAACCAGCATCTGCCGTACGGTCTCTGTAGCTAACCCTCACTGCTCTGGGAATCCTTTGCCATGTAATATATACACTATATTGCCAAAAGTATTGGGCCCCTCCCCCTCCCAATCATGTGATTCAGGTGTTCCAATCCCCTCCGTGGCCCCCCGGTGTATAGGATGAGGCACCTCGGTATGCAGACGCTTCTACAGACATTGGTAAGAGAACAGGTGGCTCTTAGGAGCTCAGTGACTACAAGCGTGGTGCCGTGATAGGTTGTCACCTGTGCAATAAGTCCGTCCGTGACTTCCTGGCTACTAAATATTCCGCCGCGGTCACCTGCTACTGGGATTATAACAAAGTGGAAGCGACTGGGAACAACAGCAACTCAGCCAGGAAGTGGTCGACCACGTCACATGACAGAGCGGGGTCAGCGCATGCTGAAGCGCACAGTGCGCAGAAGTCGCCAACTGTCGACTTGTTCGTGTTCTCTGGAGTGACCAATCACGCTTCTCTGTCTGGCAATCCGATGGGCGTGTTTGGGCTTGGCGGTTGCCAGGGGAACGGTACTTGCCTGACTGCATTGTGCCAAGTGTAAAGTTTGGTGGAGGGGGGGTTATGGGGGGGTTGTGTTTCGGGGGGTGGGCTCCGCCCCTTAATTCCAGGGAAGGGAACTCTTACGGCATCAGCACACCAAGACATTTTGGACAATTTCATGCTCCCAACTTTGTGGGAGGAGTTTTGGGACGGCCCCTTCCTGTTCCAACATGACTGCGCACCAGTGCACCAAGCAAGGTCCATAAAGACATGGATGGGGGAGGGGGGGAGGAACGTGACCGGCCGCACAGAGTCCTGACCTCAACCCCATAGAACACCTTTGGGATGAATTAGAGCGGAGACTGCGAGCCCCTCCCCCAACATCAGTACCTGACCTCACAAATGGTCCAACATTCCCATAGACACACTCCTAAACCTTGTGG